GGCCGGGCCGAGCAGCCAGCCGGGAGCAGCTGACGCAGCTGTGGGTGAGTAAATCTTTACTTGCTCTTTAGAGCTGTGTAGAGCGGTGCTTGTGTCTCTTCTGGGTTCCTGCTAGCGCTCCGCACTCCTGATGGGGTGTCTGACAGCTGCTCAGGACGCTTTATTTAAGAAGAACCAAAAAGAGGGTCTGTTCTGGGGGATTCTAACTGATGAATACTCAGGATAACTGTTTTGGCCTGGGAGAGAGTACAGATCGTGTTACTGAGGAGATTGGTGGGGAAAGGTTGGACCAAGAGAAGTGTTTTTAAAAGGTTGTGTCAAGGAAAGGTTGTGTCCCAAAGTGATGTGGTTGGGAGAGAAGGAGCGGGGTGCTGCAGTATGAGGGAATAGCTGGTCTTTGATAGGGTGGAAGCTGAGAGCACCACCTGGTTGAAATGAATTGTGGTCAGTTGTCAAATAACTTATGGATGTATCAAACCAACCCAAAACATCCAAATATAAATACTGGGGAGAAAACCCCTTTTATTTAATATTAATTTTTTATTAATATTCATCACCTCTCTCCTTTCAATTATTCCTTCGCAGTTCCTACTCTGGCAGGTTTGTGTACGTTTGGGGCGTAACTGCCTCTCGTCTGTGTTATCTTCTAAAGTGTGGCATAGGTTGTAAATCTTACGCAGTCATGATCCTGCCTCATTTGGAGACTCGCTGCTGTAAAGCACAGGCTGTGCTTAGGTATCTGCCAAAACAATAACCACTTGGCACTGATTCCTTTGGCATGGCACAACGTGGGGCCCCAGAAAATATTACTCACGTGCCCTTATCCTACTGGTGTTCTTTTTAAATGCTAATTAAATCTTGATTTAATTGCCAGAACTGGCTGTAAAATGAAATTACGGAAAGTACTGAAATTTCTTTTACGTAGTCACGATTGGATGGTAGCAAACACATAAGGAGACAAACAAGTGTAGAGATACTTCAGCTACTGGGGAAAAAAAAGAGCGATATTTGCCTTTGTTTGGGTATAATTTTTATTTTGACTTCTCCTAAAGGCCAATCATGAAGAGAAGTGGTGACTTAATGTAGATTTTCTGAGACTACTGGTTTTCTCTTGAGACGTGTGGTATTTGTAAGTAATTTCTTTGCTGATGGAGCATGTTAAATCTGCCACTGCTTCGCTGCCGTAATGAAACAAGCAGGACCAATTGCCAGAAGGAGTAGGAGTGAATGTGGGCCAGTTGCCTCACGCTTCTGCATAAAAGAAGTTCTCCGGGTAAAAATGGAATCCCTGCAAAGCACGGGTGATATTTCTGAAATTATTTGTATCAAACAAATCCTTCAGAAATAGAAGCAAGTGTCCTAGAAGTGTGAATTTTAATTTTTTATGGATTCATTACATCAGTGTCCTTATTCATTAAAATCCTATTAAAGTAATTGCTCTAAAAATATTAAAACGCTATGAAACTTAAATCAGCGTATACTGTAAAAGATTAGCTGGAAACTGAACTTAGGCTGCGATTTTCTGCAAAGCAGCTGCAGGGAGAGATGTGAGCCTTTCCTTAATGCAATTCTTTGAGGACACCATCTAGAATTTCTTTTGAATATCTTTACAAACTCTTTCCCAACTTCCTAGAACGTGATGTGGTGGTAAGAAGGCAGGAAGCTTTGGCAGCAGCTCGCCTCAGGATGCAGGAGGAGTTGAATGCGCAAGCAGAAAGATACAAAGAAAAACAAAGACAGGTAACTCCTTAACTCATAAATTTGTCATCAAGTACTTTGCTGCTGCTACAGAAAGGTTTACTCTGTGCTGGATACCAGAACTGGAGACTCACTCTCTCTGCTGGTTTCTGGGCAGTGGGTTTTTCCCCTCTCCTTTCTCTTGGACAACTTTTGATGAGGTTTGATCCATGGAGCAGTAATGGGCAGTAGGTATCGTGATGGCCCTCCAGTGATGCAAGCAATGCTGTGCTGACCTGATGTCTTGATGCTCTTTGTTGATTAGAGTGATTGATACGTGTAGTATTCTGTTCCTTCCTGAAGTAACTGATGTCTGTGGCACTTGCTTCCCTGCAAGTAATTGTGTGCATGGGACACTGTGGGCCTGATCTTTTTTCTTTTTTTTTCTATTTACAGGTAAATCTGTACCTATAGAAACTTAGTTATATGCCCAATGAATGACTGAAGGGGAATTACTGGTGTTTATATTAACTATACTACTGCAGACATGTATTTTCTGTTCTTAAGGGCAAATATAAGTTCTTAGAAATATAGCTTAGCATTACTGTAATTTAGTGGTTTGAACTACAGCTTGAGATAATGAGGAATAGCATGTTGTTATGTGGGTCAGCATAGAAAAGTGATCAACATAGCAATAATATTGCTCATATCCCCACTCAAAACCCAGCTTATTTTTCTGTTTTTACTTTTGCAGTCAGCTACATTCAGACCCCAGTTTATAGCTGATGCTTCAAGAAATATTGGCAGTTAAAAACAAATGAAAAGTCATATTGCAGAAGAAAATAGCCACTATGTAGAAAGTCTAGGTCTAGTGTGTGTGGACTTGGGGAGCTTTGCTGTCTTTGACTGGATGGAGTAGCTACCTCTTTTCCTTTCTATTTGTCGAGAAGGCGGCAGTCTGTCTTAACCATTAATTTGTTTGGTTTTGTGGATAAATTGCTTTAGAAGAGAGCTGGGAGAACTGTTGGTAATGTATATTGGGATGTAAATATGTAGTTGGCTGTCTTGTTCATTTGAAAAACATGTTTTCTTCTGTAGAACCCTACATGGTGTGTTAAATTATGATCACATGCAATATTTTTTTACTCAGTTGTTTTTATAAACTCAGAATTTAAGCTTGCCACTTGGTTCTGTTTTACTTTCAAAATGTTTTAAAGCATGAAGTGGTCAAAAGAAGCTGCAGTTACAGTTTGTATATATTGAGGAGGGGTTGTTGTTCTGTGGTTGGGAAGACATGGGTGTTTAAAAAAGTAAATGCTTCCATAAGCTTAGAGATACTGCATCAGATGAAGATGGTTTTTTATGAGCCTGTTGCAGCTATTTCTGTAGCACTGGCAATTCTATTAGTTCTGAAATCTTAGTCTTGCATGTCCTGGATTTGTTCCTTAGCTTGAAGAGGAAAAGAGAAGGCAGAAGATAGCAATGTGGGAAAGTATGCAAGAAGGAAAAAGCTATAAAGGAAACCTGAAACTGAATCAGGTAACAACTGTGTTGTTAATCAGGTTACAATTATGTTTCTGTGACTAGATAAGCTGAAATTCGTATTGATTAAATTCTAACTAACTTCTGCTTTTGTGAACAGCAAGAAGTAGAATCTGGTGCTTCCACCTCATCAGCAGTCCCAAAATCTAAACCAAACAAAAAGCCCTTGCGAGGAGGTGGTAAGTATGAAATCCTTAAGATATTCTGAGCGTGAAATGGAGCATTTATCTAGCTGTGTACATAGTCATTGTACATGTTTTTTCTCCTCTTCAAGGAGGAAACAAAATGTGCCTTACAAACGAGCTCTAACCAGTGCTTTGTACTTTGTACAAAAGCTAGCAGGATGTTTCTGTGGTGCTTTTCCCTGGGGAAGCCGTGTTTCAGTTTTCTTCTAAATGCTTTTGCCATAATCTACTGAGATTTTTGTCACTCAAAATTATAGATTCTTACAATATTTCTGGGATCCCTCCCCCATTATTGTAAAAGTCCAATATTTTCATATCTGGTCTGTCTTCCAATCACCTGCAGTACTAACCAAATGCAGGAAGAGGGTATTTTACTTTGTATTATGTAGATTCAGGAAGATCAAAGTCTTCACTAAGCAAAATGTGACCTTATTTGTCAGATATCACAATAGTGACCGATTGAACAGATAAATCCTGCAGATGTATAAACTCTTACCAACTCTCACAAACTACCAGAAGGTCTTACTGTTAAACTCGCTGTCAACCACTGAAATCATCCTGATGGATGAACTGCTTTCTGTGGCCTTACGTACCTCACATCAGGATTGCTGTCGTGTATCAGCCATGCAGCTAGTCGCCTTTCTCTCCTCTTGGCCAAACAGCCTGTGCCATACCTGCAACTGCTAATTTGGGTATGATATTTTAATTACAATTTTTCATAGTGGAGGGAATCATCTAGACAGCCTCAATCATATCAGACTAAAAAGGAAATCCACTTAGGGTGCAGTACTGAGCAAGTCACTTCATTAAATGTATGAAACCAGAAGATTCTTGATTAAACATATTAAACCTCAATAATAGTGCAATGCTGAAGTTTCTGCTTTAACTATTTTTACTGACAGCTGTTGACAACAGCTGAAGGAACTGACTGATTGATTCATCTGATGTTGTTTAATATGAGTAGAGTCTAATGTCTGATACTGTCAAATATCCTTTCTAGCTCTTGCACAGAGTATTTCCCACTGTGGGGGATGAGAAATGCATGGCTAGGAGCTGTGCTGAGCAGCAGGATGAGGCCAGCTGGGTTGAGGCACCCTGCCAGCTGCTACCTGTCCTAGTTTCATCCTAAGCAAAATCTTTGCTTAAGTAACAGATGATAGAATTAGAGGTCTCCGATCTTCTCATGAGGTAGATCAGCACGAAGTGAAAGAACCATCTGCACTATTCAGCTGCTGAATTAAGCTAGAAAGCAAAACTTGGCTAGTATGAGAAAAACAAACTTCAAAGATGGAGGTGATGGCTTGAAGTTTCAGTGGAACAGGTTGCTTGGTTAGCAGTGCTACTAGGTTTTTGGTTGTCTGTCTTTGCCTTGTACGGAACAAATTAAGGACATTTGCCAAGTTGTACCTTTACCAAGTACGCACTCATAAAATGAAGATGCTTATAGTTACAGCATTAGGATGTTCAACTAAAGTATCTGTTTGCCTTACTGTATATACTTGCCTTTTCAAATTGTTTAAAAAAAAAAAATCTTACAGTAGTAATGAGTGGAGCTACCTCTTGACCTTCAGAATATTCCTTGCAGGACTGGATTAAAAGATTATTTTAAATTCCTAACTAGTAGGGTTCTTGGAGAACAGATACACTTTACAGAGTTTACTGTAACAGTTACTGCTCTGTTTACTCTGTAGAGCAGCATTAAAGCTTTAGTGCAGACTTGGAGAAATTAAATGCTAATTAATTTCAATTTAATCCAAATTGATCAAATTAAAACACGAGTGTTTTGCAATGGCTTTTACTGTTAGCACTACAAAAATAAACCATCTCAAGTCTGGATATTTTCTCTGCTTTCATTTTCCTTAAAATGCTGCCTGGGTAGTAAGTATAAACAAAGTGCAATTACATGTGACATTTATTTTTTTGTGTTTCTCGTGTGTTGGTGAAGGCCTATTGAGGACAAATATTAATATGGTAGATTTCTCCTCTGTACTTCTAGGCTATAACCCCCTGTCTGGAGAAGGAGGAGGAACTTGCTCCTGGAGACCAGGCCGGAGAGGCCCGTCGGCAGGCGGATGAGGCTAACCTCCCTAGTGTCTCGTGGCACTAGCAGGCTTGATCTTACCCACTGTCTAACTGCCTACAGTTCGCGTGTCACAGCGACTCCTTTGGGATTGGGTTCAGTGCAGGTGTTAACTTGAAAACAGATTTACACCATTTCCAAATAGTAGAAGCCGATACTACACGAGCAAAATACCCAATTCTTTTAGAGAGGATGAAGAAAGAAACAATTTCAGTGTAATTAGCTAGTTTTCACGCTCCTGTAGAGAGGAAGCGTGGTCTCCAGCCCAGGTGAATCTTCTGGGATTGTGAGATCTGGGTTTTGTGGCTAGCTATTCAAAAGACTGGCCTCAGGCAAATTTAATTATCTATGCTCAGTTTACCTCTGTAAAATGAGGATATTTACCATCCTCAGACATGTGTTGGCAGATTTACTGTGTTTGACTGGAAGGTACTTCAGAGGGGAAGAATGTTACCATCGACGGCTACCTTGAATTTTAGGAGGAAGGACTTTAGAAAAAAAACAAACCAACAGATGAACTGACAAACGCCACGGATTTGCACCGAAGGCCAGTGACTGCGCAAGAGTCTCTGTGACAAGCTACCTTGAATGATGTTTTCCTTATAAATGGTAAACAAACCAGTGAGGATTACTGATGCTAGACAGCAGATGGGGGGTTTTCTTGCTATTGCTTTTTTTTTTTTATTTCAACTGCTTTGTAAAAACAAAACACTGTTAATATTAAATATATAACTGCAAACAAATCATAAATCTAGTATTTACAATCTTGTCATTTTATACAGTATCCTTTTATATAGGAGCCATATGTTCTAGTGCAATAAATGTGTATAAAGCAAGATGAGAGATCAAATGAAATGATTTTCATTTGACTACCTCCATAAACAAAAGGATTTTTTTCAGCTGTTCTTTTTGGCTTTTAACAGTTCCGTTATTTGGGTGTTCTGTGTTCCAAATCATGATTTTAGAAGAATCACCTTCAGGTTAAGACCAAATCAAGTTTTCCCAAATTTAAAAAGTGAAACTGCCCGTTCTCTTCCCCACCCCCAGTAAGCGGTTCTGAAATGGGATAGACTGCAGTACTGGTTGTTAAGCACTCAATAAAATCAATAAAACAGGTAATGAAGGCCTTTGCTCTAAGAGAGCAGAGCTGGTTTCTTTCCAAATTACTGTCAAGAAATATGATTTGAGGATACTTTCTGTTCTGAACGTGTCTCAGGGGTGGGAAGCGACAGCGTGGCTGTCCTCAGCAGCCCAGCTAGGTGCTGAGCTGTGTTCTTACCCTGCTGCCAGCTCGCGTGCTACAAAAGCTGAGGGTGGTTTGTTCTGACAAGAGCCTCTGGCTAGCAAACGTGTAAAACTTGCAAGTGAGGGGCTGTAAGGAGCAAGTAGTAAGTTTGTGTGGTCTTCACCCTTCTGGTGTATATCCAGCAGTGCGGATAGAAAATGAAGGCAGAGCTGACCGTTGTAAATGAGCTTCCCAAACATCCCATCCCCTTTGTGTGCTCTCTGGCGCAAAATGCAAAGAAAGAGTAAAATCCAGGCTGTCCTTGATAAAGAGTGAAATAGTTCCTGTCAGCGTACAACAAGCGTCTGTGTGTCTAATTAGTTTTACTGGGCTTGTGTATACCTATGCATTAAAGTTTGGATCGGTGTTTCATTAGTGTAGCTTAGGGCTGCTTGAACACTTGTTTCTAAATACGCTTGGAATACTTGTGTTCATGAATACGTACGGGTGCCAACTTTGAATACGCTGTTTATAGGTATATAGATACTGCTCTAGATGTCAGGTGATCTGTGATTTTTCTCTTGACTATTAATGTAACTGTAGCGTGTTACTAGTAAGTTTTAAAGTTGCCAGCTAATGAAATGGAAAAGCAGAGAACCTTTTCAGATCCATGAAGTGTATGTTCAAGTACATGTAGAAGATGAAGTGATGAAGCTATTAATGTTCCTGTGGAAACTAGTTTTCATTTCCTGGCTTCTGTGCGTTTTGGTATGTAGACTTAAATTTCCATTGTTGTTACATAGACTGGTGTATGTAACTTCAGGTTTTAATTTTTAAAGGGGGGGGGGGATAGAAGTGGGGAAGGATATTTTCAAGATCTGAAGATCCTTCATCAGTAAAGAGGACTAAGTTGTTATCTTACTCGTGCCTCTGGGGAACGTTTTCCCCTTGTGCTGTGGAAACAGGCAACAGACTGAGGTGGTGTCTTCAGAAAAACATCTGGGGGAAATTGTTGTCTTAAGCAGAATTCTTTGCATTGATGAACTGGTAAGGATGGGTTGATTAAATTCAGTAAAAACATTTTAAGAAATAAATAAGCAGGTCTGAACTGAGCATATGCTAATCTTTGTGTCTCAAGACTTGCTTCTGGCTAGGACTGGGGATATGGATTTTTGCCCAATTCTAAGATTTATTAAGACATATCCAGTCAGAATGAAGTGAGTTACATATTTCTGGAAACTTCAACCTTCTCTCTCCCTTAATTTTTTTATTTTAATCCTCATATCCCTAAGTTTTTCTTGACCAGACACTTCTAAGCTATTGAACAGGGTGGGAGGAAGAACCTCAGTTCATAAAACTTCTCTTTTGGCTCACAACCTGCATAAGCAGAGGAAGGGTTTTTCCTCTGACTTCAAATAGAAAACTCTCCCTCGACCACAAACGAGTATGGAAAGGTGGTTGCTTGTTACTTTATAGCTGAAGAGTGAAGCATGCAGAAGGCATTAGGTGAAAGTGAACTATTTAATGAATCCATTGTTCCTACTTTGGTATGAATTCCCAAGAACTTGAATTATGAAAGATGATATTAAAAAGCCTTCAGGAGATTTTTTTTTTCCCCACACGCGCTTACAGCAGTTGTGCAAGAAGCCTCTTACTCTACTGATGCAGACGTTCTGGAAATATCTTTCTCTGGAAGAAGCTAGCTATCAAACTTAAGAGTTAATGCAATGCTATTAAACTGCTGTATAATGTTACTTAGCCACCGAAAAGTAATTATTCTTGGTATTGAAAAATCCTAAAGCAAGTGTTCGGAGGCACAAAAAGTCCTGAAAATGTTAGCTGCTCGAGAAATGCAGCTAAATGTTTTTCATTGCCTTTCAGATGATTTATATGCTGGAGGAACTGAGTTTTTTGTTTTCTTTAAATTGTAGATGAGGTCTAGTTTATACATAGTTCTAACTCTTTATCAGGAGATACTGAGCACTGGAATTAAAACTGAACAAAAAACCATCTTGTCGCTCTCATAAAACTTATTTGGCTTTATGCCTTTCCAAGTCATTGTGAAATGAGGGGAAGCTTTTGAGAGTGGTATTGCATACTTAATTGTTTTTTTAAAAAAAATGTTTCTTATACTGGAAATTTTTAATAATAAACAATTATTTTAGTAATGAGGGTAAACGGGGAATCTGTGAGCAGAGCTGTTCCCGGGTGTTCCAGCATTACCTGTGTATTCAGCAAAGATAATGGGAATGAAAATGACAGTTGTACCCGTATCTGCAAGGAACTGCTCTCCTAGCAGAGGCTGAATGCAGGTGTGAAATGTGAGTACTAACAAATCTCATCTACTGTCTTTTATACAATTCTGCACGATTTTGACTCGAAACTCAAGGAATTAGGCTGTTCTGCTGTTGCTCTATGCCCAGTCTTGTTTCTTCCTTAGACTCAGCTCAGGTGTTTAGACTGAGGTGGTTTTTTCTTGGGTTTTGTGCCTTTTTCCCCTCCCTAGGAAGCTGACTACAGAGACTGTGAGATTCAGAGAGCTCCGTGAACGAGGGTGGCATCCAGCGTGACAGTCTGCCGTACGTTTTATGAGCAGCGCTACAGTTAATGGCTGCATTTGAACCATCCTGATGCTGCCCTTTATGCCTCCTGCGCCCAACAAGGCAGTTCCAATCTCTGGCAGCTGTGTTTTTTCAAGCCTGGCTGCACATCAGCACACATCTCTTACATCGGATCCACCCTTCGGATGATTTTTTTGTCCTTGTACAGGACACCTTTTCAGGGATCCAGTTAGCCAAGAGTGGGGCACAGCGTGTTTCGGTCCATGCTGTTGCGGAACGCTGAAACTATATCGTTTCCAACTGTACAAAAAGCCGGTCTAGACTTGGATGGGCTGAAGACTTGAGGTTTTGGGATTTTTTTTTTTTTAATATTTTTTCCCCCCCCCTTTTTGGAATAAAAGCTTAGCTTTTGGAACAGCTCCACAACCACAAAGGAAAAGCGTACGGCTGCTGGCTGGGTGGTGTCCTGGCCCGGCTGCACCGTTGTAGTTGATTTTGTGTGAGCTTCCAACCCAGCTGTTCCAAGCCTGACACACACCCTGCCCATATTCCCAGCTCCAGAGCCAGCGACTTCAAAAACGTCCGTCGGCTTTCATGAACCAACCAATGGCTGCAATGGAATAGGTCTCCTCAGCTCAGTTTTGGTGGTGAATAAATACATTTTGATGCAGATTTCTGTTGTGAGGGGCTGGCAGGTATGCAGCCGCTGCTCTGATGCGTATTTTTTTTTTCTGTGATCATTTGTGTTATGAAGTGCAGACCTGCTAAAAAGCACTTTCAGCATGAGTAAGATCTTTGCTGGTAAATTAATAATTTCATTCTTCCCTCTATTTCTACCATAGTTCACTAATCAAGATTCTTTCTGTGTGCTGCTTACCGAGCTTCAGAGCTGGTACTGTGGGTAACGTGAACGTAGGGAGGGCAAGGAGAAGGGCTTAGAAAATTCTGTTTAAAGAGAACGGGAGGAAAATTGATAGACTGAAATACCTGGCCTTTCAATCTAGTTCTGCTGCTCTGTTGTGTGCATTAAAATGGGGAGCTACTGTTAAGTTGGCCTGCAAGATGCACTTTCAAAGAAAAACAACCCCAAACCTGGCTCCTAAAGCCGTATCACATACGGGAGGGGGTGATGTTCCCCGTAAATTCAGCTTCCTGCTTCTTAGGTAACATAATTGCTGCTTCGTTAGCCGTTCTGCGTCTTAGGTATATC